AGGGAGGGACCCCAGAGGCTAGAAAGCCCAGACTTCAGTCCAGGCTGTATTTGCATTGGTTTGCATAATTTTGCATCTTCGCTTCCTCTTTCCCAGAGGGCCCCAGACACCAGTGTCCGCAGTCCAGGGCCAGCCAGACACCCTGTGTGTCAGCCTCCAGGCCTCCCTGGAGCAGCTTCCTGTATGCGGCGCCCATGAGGAGGGAGGCTGGGGGGGTTGGGGACACAAGGAGGAACTCGCCTTGCTCTCACTAAGGAGAAAAGACTGGAATTGCTAACAGTGCTCAAGGCTTTGAGAACCGCCAAGCAGCGAAGGTTGAAATTGCTCTGAGGAGGCCCAGATAGTCTGGGAAGGCTACCTGGAAGAGGCTGAGTGGCCCCTGGATAGAGCAGAGCAGGGGAGGTCATTCCAGGGAAGGGAATAGTTGGGGTGAAGCACAGAGTGTGGCACTGGCTACAGGTGCCCTGCCTGGAAGAGGTGCCCTTGGGGCTCAGGCCAGCCTAAGACACAGCTTGACTCTTGGTTTTAAAAAAATACCTGCTGGTGAAAGGTAACATTACACATTGTTTAGGGATGTGTACATATGTAGAAATGAAAGCATAAAGGAAAAAAATACCTGCTGGGTGAATGGATAACAGGGTACAGCTATACAATGGAATACTACTCAGCAGTGAAAAAGACAAGAACTACTGATATGAGCAGCAACATGGATAAATGTCAAAATAAGTATGCCGAGTGAAAGAAGGCAGCTTTAAATAAAACATACACGATCCATGGAGTAACTGCAGGGCCTCCCTTCCTTTCAAAGCCTTCCTCTCCCTCCACACTGTCCCACTATATCAATTCTAGGAAACGCACGCTAAGCTACAGTGATAACGAGAGATTGGCAGTCACCTGAGGACGGTGGCGGGAGGGAGGGAGGAATTACTAAGGAGCACAAGGGAGCATTTGGGGTGATGGATGTGTTTCCTATCTTGACGGTGGTGATGGTTTCATGGGTGTACACAAATGACAAAAGCCATCCAGTTACACACTTTAAACATGTGTGGTTTGGTGTATGTCAACTATCCCTCAATAAAGCAGTATTTTAAGCGTGCTGTGCCCAGCAGCTGCTTAGAGCCTCTTCTAGGAGAGGCCTCCCCAGCCTCCACTCAGAACCCAAGGACCAACTGCAGGGCCTCAGCTTCCTTCAAAAAAGCTTCCTCTTCTTCCCATCCATCCCGGCCGGGGTCCTAGGGCCCCGGGTAAAGGTCCAGAAAACACTGGCTCTGGGCAAATATGGTGGAGACGCTGAGGGACCAAAGAGCCAGGCCCTGGAAGCACCATTCCCCAGGGCCTCCCTTCCACAGGGAGGGTGTTGGGTGGGCAAGGGCAGCACAGGCCCAACCACGCTGGCTGCCAGCAGGACCGATGGAGAACAGGGGATGTGGGAACCCTGTTCCCTGGCGGCACGATGTGCACCCGGATGTGTGGCCTCAAAAAGGCATACACATACACCTGTGAGCACATGAAGGTAACCCAGACGCTAGGAGACATGGTGGGAGAGAGACTCTCCCTTAGACCAGGAAGCCCACATTTACATATGAACTGTGTGCACAGGCATGTATTCACGTACACACGGATGCACAAAACAGTACACATAAACACACGCCCAGCACACACAGGCCGTGCACCTAATAACAATGGCGGCCATTCATCAAGAGCTAACACGGGCCAGGCTCTGCACTGGAAGTTCTACACACACTTACTGGTCTCACCCTCACAGCAAACTTAGGAGGGAGGGAGGGACATTCCCAGCCCATTTTACTGATGATGAATCTGAGCCTCAGAGAGACTGAGGGGCTTGCCCAAGGTCACACAGCCACAGGAAGGGGCTCTAGGAGCCAAACCCAGGCAATCTGACTGTAGGGCCTGTGTTTTAACCATTAAGCATTAACAGCCAAGAAAGCACAGGTTTGGTGTGCTGGATGCATTTTTTTTAAATACACATTAAAATATGGTCAAAACTGTAAAATATGGAAAAAATGTTCATCCATGTATCACGTCAAGGCATCTCTTGGAGCATGCTGGGGGAGACGTGGCATTCTAGTATGCTGCTGTCATCACACCTGTGTGGATGCCACCAAAACACAGAAATACACACCATGGGTTGGTTGGTTTGGGCAGGGAAGGACTGGCCCTGAGCTAACATCTGTTGCCAATCTTCCTCTCTTTTTTTTTTCCTTTCCCCAGAGCCCCAGTGCCTGGTTGTATATCCCAGTTGTAAGTCCTTCTAGTTCTTCTATGTGAGCCGCCACCACAGCATGGCAACTGACAGATGGGGGGAGTGGTTCCACGACCAGGAAAGGAACCTGGGCTGCTGAAGTGGTGGGAGCGCCGAACTTTAACCCCTAGGTCATCAGGTCTGGCTGCACACCACGTTTTCATGCACTGCCCTGAGACATGGCTGATAGGATGCAGCACGGTGCAGCCAATGTGGGAAATGGCTTGGCAGTTTCTTATAAAGTTAAACAGCTACCATGCAACTCAGCAGTCACACTCGTGGGCAGTGACCCAAGAGAAATGAAAACACACCCACACAATGACCTGGACACAAAGGTACGGCAGCTTTATTCATAATAACCAAAAACTGGAAACACCTCGAATGTCCTTCAGCAGGTGAATAGACAAAGAAAACGTGGTACATCGCCACAATGAATACTACTCAGCAATAAAAATGAACGGAGCTGTGATACAACGAGAAGGAACCTCAAAAGCAGGCTAAGTGAAAGAGACCAGACTCGAAAGGCCACATGCGGTCTGACTCCATCTGTACAACATTCTGGAAAAAGCAAAATGATAGAGGTAGAAAGATCAGTGGGTATCGGAGTTTGGGGACAGGAAGAGAGGTGACTATGCAGCAGCACAAAGGACGTTTCTATGGTGACAGAAATGTTCTATATCTTAATTGTGGTAGTAGTTACACAACTTAGGCATTTGTCAAAAGTCACTAAATTATATACTTAAAAAGGATGAATTTTATTGTCTATAAATTATATGTCAAAAGCAACAACAATTACAAACCAGACCTTCCTTAAGATGGAGGAGAGGCCGGCTGGAATCCTGACCACCACGGCCCCCATCACCCCACCGCAGTGTTTGGACCACCTTACAGGA